GTTTATGTTGTTTCGAGCTACATAAGTCGATCTTGGTTAATCCTATTATTTCTAGCACGAGTTTAAAGTATGGGGAGCAATCTGACCTGCAATGTGCCTGTGATTATGAGGATGAAGTTAACCAAAAATAATCTCCCCTTAGTTTTTTCTATGTTACACATTATTCTTTATGAGTTCTGGTTTTATGAGTTCTATCTATGTTATGACCTGTGTGATTATGAGGATGAAGTTAACCAAAAATAATCTCCCCTTAGTTTTTTCTATGTTACACATTATTCTTTATGAGTTCTGGTTTTATGAGTTCTATCTATGTTATGACCTGTGCTGACTTAAACACACATGCTACATAATTCTCGTGCTATTTTGCTATGTGAAATCTAATGAGTCAGCACTCTTGCATTATATCCAACTCGGGTCCTTACTTTTGTGTTAGTTTATTGGGTTTTTTTCGTGGGTTTTTGCAGCTCCCTTTGTTTGAAATCTTACACAAATCCTCCCCTCAATTCCAAATCCTTCCACCACCCAAATGTAACCTAAGTGAACTTTCTTCGTACAAATTAAGTGCCCTTTTTTTTCCTTCTTTTTCTCCTTCTCAATTTCTCTACATTATATTAAAAAGATACAGCAGTAAAAAAGCTTCTCCAATTCATTAAATTTCAATAGACAAAAGCTGAAATGTTCACATCAGCCTCTAAATACTCTTCCAGACATTAGAAAACAGTTATTAAGAAGCCAATGGTATGGCAGTTGTGTTTTCTAATTAAGGATATACAGGATATAATGGTTCTTGAATTCCCCTTATGCAACAAAAGTAACTTTCTATATAAAGCTTCTATATAAGTGTCCACCAGTCCTTAAATGCTTTGTCCCAGATCTTATCGGCTTATCCGCATCAACCCACTGAAAGAAAATATTCACTGGTCACACCTTAATGCACTTGGGGATAATTTTGCAGTTGTATGCGAATTGATTTTTCTTAGCTTGAAGTCCTTTGCATTGATGGAGCAGGACCACATAGTTTTACTTTACCAGAATGTAAATTCATAGGTGACATGTTTTTACAGTAGAATAGCTTGTCCCATATTAACTCCAGCAATCTCGCTCGTAAGATGAAAAGTATTAAGAATAATGTACTAAGAAATATAGTGCTAATTTGTCTTTCACTCTAAGTTTTGAGAATAGCTCCCTCCTCCCTGTTTTGTCGTAAATTTTGAATTGAAGTGTAAAAAAAAATATTTCCCTTTCAAATGGCAGATAAGTTGAGAGGGGTAGTTAGGCTAACAAATTCAAACCACAAGATAGTGTTTATAATAGAAAATTTGTCCAGAAGATAGTGTTTATCATAGAAAATTTGCAAATTCAAACCGCAAGATAGTGAAAAATTTGATTGGAAAATTTCTATTACAAAACTATTATAAACACTATCTTGTGGACAAATTCAACCTCATGGGTGCGAGCTAGACAATGGATTTATAATCTTTTCCAAAAATCAGGAAAATTTATATTTCAAAAAATTCGAAATCAAGGATTTGAAATCCTTCAATCCAAACGTAGCCTAAGAGAATTAAAATGAAGATATTAGATTTATGTTTTGTACTTGCACTAATTTTCATACTCGTTTTGTTCTCATCCCCTGTGGCTGCAATTTTACGTGCTCTGTGATTAAGAAAAAAAAAAAAACTGAGAATATCGTTCCTTTGTTGTTTCTCGTGATTTTTTTTGTTCTTTTTCGTATCATAAAATGAGAAAATCCATTCACATTTAGTAAAAGCATCATTTTCTAATTTTCACTTTCTCCTATACTTGAAAAAAAGGACCTCTACCGAAACATCCTACGTGGAAAATCTCAGCAAGGCGACTTACTCTCGGGCCCGACCTCCAACTTCCTAGCCGGGTCCCTCGCTGGCTGCACGACCCTCATCATCATCTACCCGCTCGACATAGCCCACACCCGCCTGGCGGCAGATCTCGGTCGACCCGAGACCCGTCAATTCCAAGGCATTCGCCACTTCCTAACGACCGTCTATAAAAAAGACGGGGCCCGGGGAATCTACAGGGGCCTCCCTGCCTCACTCCACGGCATGGTGGTCCACCGAGGCCTCTACTTTGGAGGGTTCGACACGGTCAAGGAGATGATGACGATGTCATCACAATCGGGCCCGGATGCCGACGTGGCGCTCTGGAAGAGGTGGGTCGCGGCCCAGGCGGTGACGACTGCTTCGGGCCTGGTCTCGTATCCGTTAGACACAGTGAGGAGGCGGATGATGATGCAATCGGGCCTGGCGAGGCCCATGTACGGGGGCACGCTCGATTGTTGGAGGAAGATATATAGGATGGAAGGGCTCGGCTCGTTTTATCGTGGGGCCCTCTCGAATGTGTTCAGGAGTACGGGGGCTGCCGCGGTTTTGGTTTTGTATGATGAGATCAAGAAGCTCATGAACTGGACTGGGTTGTAGAGTTTTGTTGGGCTATTATTATTCTTCTTTTAGTTTTATTCAAGTTCTTTTTTTAGTTTTTAGCTGTGTAGAACAGTAGATGTTGATATGATATGACAAAGCATTTTTGTGAGGAAAAGAAATTGATATTAGCTGCCAATTAATCAGATGAAGGTGTAATTAGTAACTGGAAAGTGGAAAAAAAACCATGGTGTGTTCTCTAGGGCATCTGGGAATAATAATACAGGCATATTTGGTTTGGGGTAATTTGAATAAAGATCAGAAATTTATGGGAGATTTTATTAGGCATCTCCAATGGTAATAGTTATTACTAGCTATATGGTTAGCTGACGTGAATGTGAGAGATAAGAAAAATAACTATTCTACATTATTGGACCCACATACTCCTCTCACATAATCTTGGGCTACGTGAAATAGATAAGCTATTTGTTAGTAACTAGTGACTACTCTCTCTCTTACTTTTCCCCTGTCCACGTCATAATAATTAGCTAAATAGCTAACCATTGGAGACGCCCTTAGTGGATAAATGTGCGTTTCTTTGCTTTTGTTTGTAAGTTTGTTAAATTTTGTTCAGTTTTTTAACTGTATAAAAATTGCATTTAATGTTTGTAAATTTAAGCATAGCTCATGGTTCTGAATTCTTACTTTTTTCTTTAATAGATCTGTATTGAAGAGTGCGGTGCAGTGTGAAGATTTAGGGCTTGATTGTTTATGGATTAATTTACTCACTTTTATTTCAACTAAAAATGTAACTCAACTTTAACTCAATCTCACTATCTTTAATATTATTCATATAATTAAATAATACAAACCAATCATTCTTACACATCACATCAACTTTAATTCACTATTCATCCATTCACATATTTTTAACTACCTATCATTTTCAATCATTTATCTCTTACTTTTACATCAAATCAATTTTAAACATTTTATTTTAAATATTATTTTAATATATTCTTAAAATTCCACTAACACCTAACTATACTACTTTTTCAAATTTAACTATGTTAACCAAAATAACTCATTTTGAACAAATTATTTCATAAACAATCAAGCCCTTAACATTCTAATAAAATTAAGAGTCCCCATATATAATAACTAAAGAATAAAATAAAGTTAGGAGTGCCCATGTATAATTCATAACTTTTAGTTTTCCTTTTCTCTTCAATTAAAATTGATTTTTAACATTTCGTATAAATTCAATTATTTTTAAAATATACATTTACATTGATTACTGCATTAACAAAAAAAAAAAAAAAAAATACTCATAGCATCATCATCATTCTTCCATACTTTGTCATAATATATACATATGACTGGGTTAATTGTACATATATATACGTAAGATAAGCAACATATAAACATATTTTTGATTCTGCAATTACCCAATAACAGGAGAACAAAAAGTGAAATAGGCTATGTTTGGTAAAATTAACTGATAAGCTAGCTGGTAGCTGATAAGTTAGCTTATAGCTTATCAGTAATTTTCGAGCTTATAGCTTATGACTTATAGCTGAAAAGCTAGCTTATATGATAAAAATGTTTGGTAAAATTAGCTGATAAGCTAGCTGCAATAAAAAAATCAACTAGCTTATTTAAAAAGCTACCTAAAAAAACTTATCAAATAAGCTCGAGCTTTTTAAATAAGCTCGTCCTACCAAACAGAGGTTATTTAAATACATGGAGCTTATAAGCTAATAAAATAAGCTATAAGTTAGCTTATTGGTCTACCAAACATAGCCATACTCAAAACCATGGGTAAAATCAACATATTTTCTTCATTTTCATTTTCATTTTTATTTTTTCATTTCTTTATTTTTATTTTAATAAAGTGCTCTCTAAACTACAGCTGACTACTAATGTTGCAAAATTGTAATTTATAACTGGGGGCAAAGCTTAAAATTATATTTCAGTTGGCTTAATTATGTAAGTAAATATGTTGACATGTTAGTGCCTAAAAAGTTAGGGGATGCTTGGTGGTAAATTTTGGAAAAAATGTGGTATGACTAGTTGTTAGTGAATATATTAAAATAATATTTAAAATATAATAATTAAAGTTGATTTGATATAAAAGTACGAGAGAGATGATTTGAAATGATGGTTAGTTAAAATTATGTGAGTGGATAAATAGTGAATTAAGGTTGATGTGATGTGTATAAATGATTGATTGATATTATTTAATTATATTAATAATATTAATGATAGTGAATTGAGTTAAAATTGAGTTAAAAAAAGTAGTTGAGTTAAAAATGTTTAGGGCTTGATTGTTTACCAAATATTTTACTCACTTTTATTTCAACTCAAAATTTAACTCAACTTAACTCAACTTCACTATCTTTAATATTATTCGTATAATTAAATAATACAAACCAATCATTTTTACACATCACATCAACTTTAATTCACTATCCATCCACTCACATAATTTTAACTACCTATCATTTCTAATCATTTCTAATCATTTTCTCTTACTTTTACATCAAATCAATTTTAATCATTTTATTTTAAATATTATTTTAATACATTCTTAAAATTCCACTAACAACTAACCATACACCTTTTTCAAATTAACTATGATTAACCAAAATAATTCATTTTGAACAAATTATTTCATAAACAATCAAACCCTTAGATTTTTTTGGATAAATTTTGTGTGCAAGCATACTCTAAAAACCTCAACTCAACTTGTGCTTTTGGTCCAATTTTAAGTGATTT